TTTAAATATTTATAATCTTAATTTATCCGAGAGATTTTTGATCTGAAATTATTGCAAATTAATTTTATAATAGTTGGAAAGAATATATTAAACTTTCCTTATTGTTAAAATAAAATTACAGTAGAGCGTCGATTATCCGAATCAATTGGGACTGGGGATGTTCGGATAACTTATTTTTCAGATAACCGATTATGTACGATAAAAATATATTAATCTATCTCGTGTTAAAATTTTTCTCCGTTGCGTGTCGCTTCGCGTTGAATATTCGTCGATGTTAAGCCTGACCTAAACTTTTTAAAATAATAATCGTGGCTATTGTATTGTTAAAAATTATTTCTTTATTTTGTACAAACAAAATTAATCTATTGAAAAATATAAAAACCGAAAAAAAATATACTTTAGAAGTTGATTTAGTATCAAAAACGTTCGATTCAGCACCACGCACAATCCTCAGAAAAACAACACACAAAAGTGCTAGTGCTGCCATCTAAAACACACACACACCAACAAAAAAAATATTGGAGTAGCCCAAGATATAGCCAAAGATTGCAGCGTCACAGCACTAGCGAAAATTTAAATTTGCCAACTGGAATTCTTTCCGATAACCGACTTTCGGATAAACGACACTCTACTGTAATTTAATTCAAATTTATAAAAACATTTAATAATTAATACAGAAACTTTGCCTTGTTGTTAAAAGAAAATTAATTTGTGATCGAAAAATTAATTTTGTGATCTGAAATAATTTCATTCGAAAAATTTTTATTTGCAATATTAATTTAATTTTAAAAATTATTTGTAATTTTAATTTAATAGACATCTGAAATTAATTTTGTGATTAGTATGTTTCATATCACTACTACTCATGTTTCAAACTGACGACAATATCTGTATGAAATTCTATTATATCGAATAATAAGAATGCGTGAGCATCTGGGAGCAAAATCTGGTTCTCGACTAAACCTAGTTGCGGTAGAAGGTCTCGTCCTATAATTCTGTCACACGGAGATATCGTCATCAGTGACANATATTGTTTGTGCAAAATAAAAAAGTAATTTCGGACGATACAATAGCCAGGATTATTTTTTTCAAAAACGGGAAATTTTCGTTACGCATCGACAAAAATTCAACCCGGGCCGACACGCAACGGAGAGAAATTTCGAAATTGGATAGGTTAATTTCATCGAAAATGCATCGTGGCCGGCGAAGTTTGAACGATCGCGCCCAAAAGCAGCGATTCCAAAGATGATTGGAGAATGGGAACGAGACCCGCCTTGCGCGTCAAAATGATTCCGTTTAGTAGTGTGTGGCTGTCAGCCATATTTCAGTCTTTATATAGTTCGTAAGTTCTTTACTTCTTTTCTATTTTCTTCTTTCGTTTCTACTTTCTAACTTTCTTTCCATTGTCTCAAAGCAATTTCTACATAAATCGTTACTGCTTGATGGTGAGGATTACCCTTTCTAAGAACGAGAGTTGAACAAAGGAGGAGGAGATTAAGACTTCCCCGAATTTCAGGAGATAGACAAAGGAAGTAAAACCCCAAGACAACGTGAGAGACGAGTTGTGGACTTTTTTTGGTTGGACCTGGGAAAAAACAGACGTCGGACGCTGCGCTCCAGCTCGATAGAGGGTGGAAGAGAGGAGATTGCAGTCGTGAGAGAGAACCCTGCCAAGACTGAACACAGAAAGAGGTACGAGGATCCATCGGATACTAGAAGAGTGAGAGAATTCAGACATCGAACCGATGGTTTACTAGAGAAAGAGAAGGGATCGCGATTTTGAGGACGGAAATCGTTAAGGAGATCGATCAGACGACTTGAACCCGGGTACTTTCTGTTTACTTTCCTATCGTACCTTTGCTTTCCTAAGTCTATCCTTTCTTTTCCCCATTATTTTAAGATAGACGTAAGATTAGTTTTAAGTTAGTCATTAAATTTATTCGGTTGTTCTCTGTTATGCGCGCGTGCGGTATATCCCTGTAAAATTAATAGGAGGCGACTCACTTCCCTGTAGGCTGTATATATTGAAGTGAAAATCTGTAGGTCGGTGTATTAAAAGAACCGCGTTCGGAAAGAATTAAAAGAATATATATCGTGTGCAATTTTGTTTCTGTGTTGTTATTTGTGACGGTTACTGGCGNCGTAGTACTGTCTTGTTTCCGTACACCGTATTTTTGCGCATTACTATCTGCCCAATGTAAAATGATTATGAAACGTTCGTATTTAAGCTGAAATATACGTAAATATGTTAACAATATTTTTCAGTTATGTCTATGTTAGTTTATTTAAAGGTTTATTTATTACAAAATGTTTACATACTATTTTTAATGTATAAATTGTCTGATTTGAAGAATTTATCAGAATAAAATTAATAAATATTAGTATTAACTCTTATAATAACTTGATTGATCTAGGTAGCTTATTTACTAACTTACAGATATTAAATTTAAATATATATATATAATTATAAATAATGTTTATAAAAGAATAACTAATTTTCTGTTTTGAATAGAGAGTGAACTACACAAGTTTTACGTTAAATAATTAGATATTAGTTACCTTTGTAAAACTGTTTTAAAACACTTATAGGTATGTAATTCAGGAGCGTTCTTGTCAAAACAAACAGACAGATAACAATATAACGACAATGACGTTGATTAGGTTGTGTGTCGACGTCATTGATTGGATGCTGATCTGACGAATTGTGCATTTTCCATTATCATTCGAATTTCCTCAACGTGTCTTAGGCAATAAATTGATTAATTTCAAATACAACGTCCTTGAAGAAGAAATCGCTTTTTTGCAGACTGCTTGTGTGTTTTTTGAACTGCTATCTTAATTCCATTGTACTACTTTTAAGACATTGAATTATTTTATAGAAAACTTATAATTTTGAAAATTACGTATATTAGTTTGAAAATTTTAAAATTTGTAATGTATATGTGAGGTATAAATGTTTCGTAATTATTANTTGAAGAAGAAATCGCTTTTTTGCAGACTGCTTGTGTGTTTTTTGAACTGCTATCTTAATTCCATTGTACTACTTTTAAGACATTGAATTATTTTATAGAAAACTTATAATTTTGAAAATTACGTATATTAGTTTGGAAATTTTAAAATTTGTAATGTATATGTGAGGTATAAATGATTCGTAATTATTAAAAGAAAGTAAAAATTAGTTTGCTTTTATTACTTTGTTTACATATATTCGTATATACACTTCTCATTAAAATGTCGAAGGTCATAAATAATTACAGAATTACTTCATAATTATTCGAAAGTATTGTAATTTATCTAACTGCGATAGAGTTGATAATAAACAAAAAATTAAATGTACTTTAAATTAAATGTTACCTTTTAAATTTTTTTGTTTCTGTAATACATTAAATATCGTCCTTGCAGCTACTAAATATAAATCCAGATAATAACTTATATATAGTTTGATTTCTTAATAAGAAATAAGAACAATAGATTTAGCAATTCGAAAATTTCGGTTATTATGAGTAAGTCTGATCATTACAAAACAATGTTCAAGTAGTTTTATAAGTACTGTGTTATTTTTTAAAATACTTAATAAAACTTTATTTAATACGGAATGTATATTGAATTNAGGTTGCAACTTTCTCGCTCTGCTCGCTGACTACTTTCTTTAAATCTTCCTTAGTGGCTAAGGAGCTAAGCCTTTTCTCAAGTTTTTCAGAAATACTGTTACACTCTATAGCTATGCTTGCTAAATTTATAACTCTATTAAACCGCTCAGTAACGTATCTTAAGTTCTCCTTTGATGACAGTTTCCCGTTGGGGTTTGACGCAAAATAACCCTTTATTTCATCGATGGCCTTATGGGCCTCCTCCAAAAATTTATCCTTACTGCTAGATCCCATTTAGAATATTAAATAAAACCGAGGTACTAAAATGTGTCCCGATGCAATATGGCAATAGTTGATAACTTTGGTGAAACTTAAGGAAGCAGCACCTGACGCAACATGTATTGCACTATGCTATCATAGACTGGAAATTCGACCGGAAATGGTGGAAAAAAGTACTTACTGCTGTCTTTGCTCTGTAAATAGTTGGAGATTGTCCACAAAAGTAATCCTAAGCGGCTGGGATGAGGATATTCCACAAAGTTCGGAAGTTGGAGAGGATGAAGTGCGATGACACCCACAGTACCAGAGACAGTAGTCTGATAGGGTGGAGACCCTTCCACAGGTAGGCCAAGCAAGCTTGGCCGGTGGTAGCACTGGCTGGGCAAAGACTTGACTTGTCCACAACGAAAGACAGCATGCAATCGAAAATAATCAACGAATTTCAGCCGAATTGTTAAACGACGCCCATCAAATTACTTAACGCGAAGAAAGTCGAGGATGTTCCGCTCTGCGCGATATACTGTTTTGCGACACTCAAATTTCCGTTGCATGTTACAATCGAACCAAATAATGTCCGTTGGCACGCTGCTTGGTTTATAAATGTCCTTTCGAGAAGCAGCTTGCGGTCAGGTCTCGTGGTGTAACGGTAAGCACTCTGGACTTTGAATCCAGCGATCCGAGTTCGAATCTCGGTGAGACCTCTTGTTTTTTTCCCCTGTCGTCGTTCTGTATCGGAAGTTCGTATATAGTTAATCGAGGGAGGAGTCTTCGATTAACTGTATATGAACTTTCCGATGCAATCAACTTCTAATCTTTTCATATCTGATCTCGACTTTCATCTACCTAACTGCGTTTTTGAAATTTAATACCAATGAAAAAGAAACGTACGATAAAATTTTGTAAAGAATTCTGCAATAGCTCATGTTAATACGCTAATGGAATTTTAGATATTTAATCACGTCATTTAATATTAAATGTAATTTCATAATAATAAATTACAACAATAAGCTGCTTTTAACAATATTGTATTGTTGGAATTGCTAAGAAAAATGATGCGAAGCGCAATAAAAATGTTTTTGCGAAAGTTGAGTATTAAGGAGAAGCGGAAAATGTAATTTTCCTCATTAATTATATTTGTAATTAAGACTTATTTCATGTTTATTCGAAAATAATCGAATTTTTTTTATAGGAGAGAGGATAACGCTGAACCAGATGGTCAGCGAAATACAGAATATCCCATAAACGTAAGATATTACTATTTCTCTAGAAAAATCGAAGTTATTTGTAACTAATATTCAGTTATTAGCGATTTTTAAAAATATTTTTTCCAAAACGTTTCAAGCGTAGTTGATTTTTATTATTGACTTTTCTTAGATTGACAAAAATTTGCATGAAACAAAGTGTCTCCCCGTAAAAAAAAAGGATTCACAGTTCCATGACAAGAAGTAAAAGAAAACAGAAAAATTTATAGAATTCTGTAGAAACGTATTCTATAAATTCTATTGTTGTCGCTGTAATTCAGCAGAAATTTCCGATTCGCAGGTAAGTTCTCGTTCTTCGTATACACTTAATGCTTTACTTAGCGAAGTTTACCATTAAACGATTCTGTGATTTTAGAATAGTCAATCGGAAAATTCTCAATACAGAGTCGATTCTTCAAAAATTAATAAAGACATTATTAATGACTATGAATTTCAAAAGATTGGAAAGGGGACTTTTGGAACAGTTTATTTGGCTTGCTTCAGAAACTCTGACCAAAACGTGGCTTTGAAAGCCGTCGAGAGAAAGCGCTTTTGTCTTGCACAGGTGTTCTTTCAGCTTTGTTTTTCATATTCTTAATCTTATAATAATAGAAATTTATTTGACACCCTTGTCCATGTAATATAAAATAATTTAATAAGCATATTCTATCATTAGTACATAAAGCGTTTAATCTCCATATTAAAAATCATCACATTCACACATCATTTATTGATGATGCACTAAGCGGAAATAAATCGATGCTTTATATACATTAATTACAAATGTCTACAGAATATTCTTAATTTGTATCTAGTGTATACTTAAAAAATTACTTTACTTATAGAGGCGCGAATTGAATAAAGGACGAAAAGCGTGGACAACCATATCGAGCCATCCGCACATCGTCTCTTTAATATGTTTTTTCAAAACAAATACTAGGTAAATTTTAACTCTACATTTGATTTATTAATAATACTTAATGGTTTTTATGTAATAATAATTGTCTTCTTCAGTTTCTGTTTCGTCTGCGACTTTGTGGACGGACAGGATATAACTCATAATTTAGAAAATGACGGACCCTTCGAAGAAGCCCGAGTCAAAATGATCGGTGCTCAAGTGGCTTCGGCCATAATGTATATTCATAATCGAGGTAGTTTTTAAAATCTATTTATTCATTCAAATGTAAATTGTATAATGAATTTGCTTTTGTCTTCGATAGGAATCATTCACAGATATATCGGGTCGAATAACGTCATGCTAGATAAGTCGAAAGGAGCGCAACTGATTGATTTCGGTCTCTGCACAGTAAGTAGTGTGTAAAATATTATCTTAATTTTCGTACAAGTGTTGATTTCTCATTAACTGATTATCATTCTGTCAGTATGAACAAAATCCGAAACAATTTTGCGGCACTTTCTTCTATCTTTGTCCAGAAATCCTTGAGGAAAAACCGTATGGTGAGTTGTTCTATTTCAATTTAATCACGTCATTTTGTTTAAGTCTTGTAATTATAATTAATATGCATTCATTTTAGATGCTTACTGCGATTGGTGGGCATTCGGAATTCTCTTATACCAAATGTTCATCGAAAAAACACCGATGGAGATGTATTTAGAAAAAGTCCCGAATATTGACAATGTGTCCTTTATGGAGATAATAAAAAGTAAGCGATGATTATTTTTAGTTTGTTAATGGCAAAAAGAGAAAACGTGTGATTAATGTACTGTACCAATGTCTTTTCAGTCGCTCAAAACGTCCGGGTGCAGTATTTTTTGCATCTCTCAATAAATGCAATGGACGTAATCGACGATTTACTGGAAAAAGTAAGATGAAATCTTTATTGTAGTTAATGTACTTTCTTATATGACGCATTCGTTTTGCATAATTATTTTCCATTAAACCTCAAAGTATTAAATATTAGTGTTTATATTGTTTTATGCGAGAAATTCATAATTTTTATGTAGTTAATAAGAAACTCATCCATTCATTTAATAATACAAATACATTTCAACACGTTTTCTGCATAATTTAATAGATATTTACGTAACTTATTCATAATAAATAATAAAAATTTAGAAAACTATTCAGTGGGGACAGAAATTTTAATTAAAAAATATATNTATCTAAATGTATAAAATTACTTGTCTTGACTGACTGACTGAGTCACTGATTCATCATCGCCTAAAGCAAACCGCTGAACCTAAAGGAATGAAATTTGGTACGCTATTAGGGAACGCACTAAGAAGGGATTTTTCGAAATTCCCCAGCGGGAGGAGAGGAAGAGCATTAAGGCTTAACCGGAAGGACAACTTCTACTGTTCTACTTTAGATGAGATTTTTGTTAGATGGGATTTGCTTGAAAAATCTTAGCGGGCGAAGTCGCGGGTAACAGCTAGTTGTAACATAATATAACATAACGATCTTCTTACATTTCCAAAATTCTTATCTATAACTAAATCATTAATTTAATAAACAAAACTGAAATTGTAGAGCATCCAATTTCTAATCGTATCACATAACCTGGAATCAATCTGGAAAGTTTATAAATCTGACGAAAAAATATACTTCCAATTTCTGGAAGTGATTCATCGCCCAGATAGAAGATCCGTAAGACAACACAGAGTATATTAGCGAATGAAATAATTTTATATAAGTACCAACATTAAATACATTTAATTTTGTTAGTAAAGGTCACATTGTTCCTATTGCACTTCTACTTTTTTTAAAAATGCTTTTTTTGTAGATAAAAACAATCCCGAGAATTAAAACGGTACTCCTAAATATGTATATTCTACAGCAATATCCAGTAATTGACTTTTATAATACCATTTATCATGATGAGACAACTTTCTGCCTTTCCTACAGACCATTACTTTTGTTTTAGCCAAATTAATTTTTAAATCGTAATCTTCACAGACTTCTGCAAAAACATTTAGCAAATTTAGAAAATCTGCTATAATAACTGTGTCGTCAGCATACATCAATATATGGAACTCTCTATAATCAGAAATAGGCAAACCCAAAAACCCAGATTGATATGATCCACAAGTTAATTAACATATAAAGAAAATAACATAGAACTTTAAATTTTACCTTGCAGTACACCAATCTTAATATCAAACGACTCTGTATATCCACTCGTACTTTTTACCCTTGCAGTGGCCTTTCTGTAAATATCCATAATCAAATTGTAAAAATGCTTACTGATCAACATTTTTAAGCATTATGCTATCAAATGCGGCTTCAAATCAAAAAATACTGCATATATATTTTTCTTTTCTTCCTAAGTTGTTCTTGTATTAACTCATTCAAAATAAATATTTGGTCTAAACAAGAAAATCCTTTGTAAAACCTGCTTGTTCTTAGTGTAAAATTTTCATTTCATTAACCCAAACAGTTAAACGAGAATTCAAAATAGCTGTAAATAATTTGCTAATTATTTGAAGTTTCGAATTTGCTTTCGACGAACGTATCTAAAATACGATGAAAATTAATTTATTTTGATAGATCGGATTCAATTCAACATCAGACGTTCTTGATCAGAAATGTTCCTTCGTTGTTTTGAGTGCAGAGAAAAACACTCTGCCAAACAGTTGGTGGCTTAAATGCAAAAGGATATCTTCAACGTTATATCGAAGTTTACACACAGTATATATTCGCATAAATTTTTTCAAGATTTTTGCTAATTTTAATTTTTGAATTTTGGTATTCAGCTTTACTGTTGTTGATCACGCGATCGCAATGAGGTAATTTTCTGATTGGACCAACTAGCTATACAATTATGTTAAATTAACTTTCTATAGACTTATTGGTTCAGCTACTGTGAGAGCTTTTTGCAATTTTTAGGTTTTCATTGGCGACGTCTTAGAAAAGATATTGTACAGTGGTTGGCTGCCATAATAGAGAGTTTTTTATAAATAGTTTGAAGCTGTATGAGATATACACGAAAACGATGCATCGAGATTATCCATGTATTAAATTGTTCCAATTACATTCATTTTCTCGGGATGAAAATTTAAGAAAAAAACTGGTAAGCAGCCATGCACGTACATCCAGCTATATAAATAACTTTTCCATTATTAGACACACAAGTCCATACGGAATGATGACTTGCACACAGGGTTTGTGATGGCTCTACATTTGTCTTAAAGACATAAATATTTTGTGTCTTTAAGACAAATGTAATTTAATTAAAATTTTATTTACGTTGTACTTAAAAAATAATTATAAGAGTTCTGACTCTTATAATTATCAAAAATTACTTAAATATAAGCTTTAATTTTAATAAGATATTTAAATATAACTGGATATTTCAAAGGTGCATTGTCTCGTGTCATTATTTTACGATTTTATAATTTCGATTGATAAAAATAAATTAGAAAATGAAGAAATCGTGCAAAAATCCAAAAATTTTGCATCAGATCAATTCTGAATATATTGGACTATATTTAAACGGCAATAGGCCTTGCATATATTTACTGATAGATAATAACAGTGGAGTGTTAGTAAAATTACAAAAGCCAATTATGCCAATTATTTTCTAGGAACAAAAAAAAAAAAAATAGGATTTAGGTTTTCCTTATTTTAAATTTTTATCAGTTTTAAAAAATATATCCCCACTATCCATGTTGCACGNTTAATATAAAATATATGCTCTCAATCTCAAATTAGTAATATACTGCCTCGCCCCCGTACATCATACTTTTCCTGTTAGCAATAGATTCGGGTCTGTCTTCTGTTTAACTCCTTTCGAGAAAAAAGTTTGAATTGAAATAAAGTGACTTCTGTCTTGCATTAGAAGTTCATGTAGAGTTAATCGGGACCTCCCGCCCCTCATTCCGATAGTCTGGTGTCAAAATGGAAAAACGACTCGTAATTTAGCGTCGACGTAATCACTCAGTGGAAGGAAATTTCATTTATTGTAAGAGACAAAACATGTCATAACTTCTTTCGAAATTCCGTAAACTAAACAATTGTAATTGAATCATCGTTTAGTTAGTTCAACGTCGGCCTGTCATAAAACTGCTTGAACATAACGAGAAATGAATATTCAAAATTGATTAGGCATCAATCGCAATCGCAGAATAACGTCAGGATGGCCGAGAGTTCTAAGGCGCCAAAATCAAGGTAGATCCTTCCTGTAAATGCGGGAGCGTGCAATAGTGGTCGTGGGTTCGAATACCACTCCCGACACGAGCTTTTCTTATGTGCGGTTGATTGAAATTGTCTATTCTAGTTTGACGTAAGTGCCTGGAAGACATTTTGTAATTTTTTTTATTCGAAACAGTAATGTTAATTGGATCAGAAGTTTGCAACATGTTGAATTCCGTTTTGAAACTATCGTTAAAGCAGAATAAACATATGGAAACGTTGCAAAGCGTCGAGCAGAAACTCTGCTTCGCCGCACGTGTGTGAAGCACAGTTTCTGTTATAAATTCAAAGCAAAAAAAATTTCTGAATTCTATTGTCGCTGTCACCTTCCATTGCATAAACGATGACAGGGGCGAAGAAGCAAAAAAAGCCCCACCGAAATTTCAACTCGGATCACGGGATTCAGAGTCCAGAGGGCTAATCACTACACTATATAACGTCACACAGATCCACGTGTCGCGTATCACCTTAATGCATTGCAGATTGCCTTATCGACTATCGCGTAAATATATCGCCGCATCTGTTGTTGCCGATAATGGAAGTCTCTCCGTCTACACTTTCTCCTTAAAACGCGAAGCTGTTGCCACAAATCTGTCGCGAAGAGATTGACGGTTGCGGTCGGCGGACGCGGTGAAAAAGAATTTAAGAAACGTGTTTCGTCGTGTGGAAAGCAAATAGACCGTAAATTGTCGATGGCTGTCCGTGATCGGTGTGTAAATAATCGAATCATTAATTCGTTTCAAGCGTGTTTTTATCGTAAGCAGTCACGGCGCTCGCACGACAGAGGCGCGATACTGACATCAACTGACAGTTGCATTGCACGAAATCGTGCAGTGCAACTGTCAGCTGGCGGTCGTCGCGATTTCCACAACGAAAGACAGTGCTGAGAAAGATAACGAGGCCGAACTCAAAGGTATAGCCCGTTTTAGACTAGAAGAGGAGGAAGATAAAGTTTGTTGCGAAGAGGCTAAGGTGAAGGGGAATTAAAGTGATATAGGAGAGAAGGAAAATAGTCAACCAGGGTTCATGGGAACCCATGAGCGCCTCGCATCGGTCATTTATTAAAGAAAAGAAAACAGAATTACAATACAGTGAATGGTACAAATAATAAGATACAGTGTAAACTTCAAAATGGCGCGACAATAAGAAGACATATATCAAAATGAGTCAGTACAATGACAAGAGAACAGAAGTGCAATGCGTAACAGACATACAGGTAGCAGATGATTCACGCGACGATTAACAGGTTGGTAAAACTGATAATAGTATAACGTTGAGGCACAGATATCACACGAAAACAGAAACGCAATGGGTGCCAAACTTCCAGATAACAGATGAAACGCGTAACAGGTAAATTATGAAATAGTAAGACATAAAATGACGAACAGGTTACAGTAGCTGGAAGAGAATACAGAGGTAGATTACCGATTTAGAAGAACCGGCGATGATACGAAGGTTCATAGATCGATGGGAGCACTAGGAGTTGTAGTCAAATCTCTGGGCGGTTTCCGCTTTGACACGTGACAACATCGGGCAGTTGGAGCTCATTGAGTTGTGATCTCTGTTAGAGTAGTTCGCCTTGGTACAGTTCACGCATCTGGGTGGATCTTCTTTCTTAGGGCAATCCTTGTAAAGATGGTGTTTTCCGCAGTGGCTGCAGGTGTTCTCTTTCTCAGTGCAAGTTCTTGCCCTATGCCCAAAAGCTAGACACTTGTAGCATTGTATGACAGGCAGAAAATCATACACTGGGCACCTACTCCATTCAATATTGACTCTTCTCTCTTTGTTAAGAAGCTCTCTTAGTTTTGGAGGGACCTCTATTACCCAGGAGTTGTAGTCTGTGTTCCGTTGTTTCATGGGGAATTTTAATTTAACTTTGTCCATAAATTGTCTCTCGCTGTACATGTTTTGAATGTCTCCGTTTTGCTGGTAAACAAATTGCAGGATGTCATTACCCTCAATGGAACGCGGGACATTGGCCAGCTTAACAAGAGGGTGATTTTTCTCAGCAAACTTAGAGCCTAAGTCTCCCACTTTGGAAATTTCTCCGTCCAGATCAAGTGCAGAGTCTATCGTAGGGCAATCCACAGCAATTCCCCCATTGCCAATATTTCTCATACGCCTAATACCGACCCCTATTGTGTGTGGCTTGATTTTTCTCTTTAAAAGCTCCTTGGTTTGCTCAGAGGTGTGTTCCTTGTTATCACTATAGACTATGACAGTGTAGCAAGGGGGAGGAGGAGAAGGAGGAGAGTAAACTGGAGGAGGAGAGTTGATCCCTTTCCTAAGCGCGTCACTGTAGCGATTACTGGTGTACTCTTTGCCTTTCGGTTTATCTCTAGTAACAGATTTCTCTAATACACCCATATTTTCTTTAACCTCAGTAAGTGAGGTTGCAACTTTCTCGCTCTGCTCGCTGACTACTTTCTTTAAATCTTCCTTAGTGGCTAAGGAGCTAAGCCTTTTCTCAAGTTTTTCAGAAATACTGTTACACTCTATAGCTATGCTTGCTAAATTTATAACTCTATTAAACCGCTCAGTAACGTATCTTAAGTTCTCCTTTGATGACAGTTTCCCGTTGGGGTTTGACGCAAAATAACCCTTTATTTCATCGATGGCCTTATGGGCCTCCTCCAAAAATTTATCCTTACTGCTAGATCCCATTTAGAATATTAAATAAAACCGAGGTACTAAAATGTGTCCCGACGCAATATGGCAATAGTTGATAACTTTGGTGAAACTTAAGGAAGCAGCACCTGACGCAACATGTATTGCACTATGCTATCATAGACTGGAAATTCGACCGGAAATGGTGGAAAAAAGTACTTACTGCTGTCTTTGCTCTGTAAATAGTTGGAGATTGTCCACAAAAGTAATCCTAAGCGGCTGGGATGAGGATATTCCACAAAGTTCGGAAGTTGGAGAGGATGAAGTGCGATGACACCCACAGTACCAGAGACAGTAGTCTGATAGGGTGGAGACCCTTCCACAGGTAGGCCAAGCAAGCTTGGCCGGTGGTAGCACTGGCTGGGCAAAGACTTGACTTGTCCACAACGAAAGACAGCATGCAATCGAAAATAATCAACGAATTTCAGCCGAATTGTTAAACGACGCCCATCAAATTACTTAACGCGAAGAAAGTCGAGGATGTTCCGCTCTGCGCGATATACTGTTTTGCGACACTCAAATTTCCGTTGCATGTTACAATCGAACCAAATAATGTCCGTTGGCACGCTGCTTGGTTTATAAATGTCCTTTCGAGAAGCAGCTTGCGGTCAGGTCTCGTGGTGTAACGGTAAGCACTCTGGACTTTGAATCCAGCGATCCGAGTTCGAATCTCGGTGAGACCTCTTGTTTTTTTCCCCTGTCGTCGTTCTGTATCGGAAGTTCGTATATAGTTAATCGAGGGAGGAGTCTTCGATTAACTGTATATGAACTTTCCGATGCAATCAACTTCTAATCTTTTCATATCTGATCTCGACTTTCATCTACCTAACTGCGTTTTTGAAATTTAATACCAATGAAAAAGAAACGTACGATAAAATTTTGTAAAGAATTCTGCAATAGCTCATGTTAATACGCTAATGGAATTTTAGATATTTAATCACGTCATTTAATATTAAATGTAATTTCATAATAATAAATTACAACAATAAGCTGCTTTTAACAATATTGTATTGTTGGAATTGCTAAGAAAAATGATGCGAAGCGCAATAAAAATGTTTTTGCGAAAGTTGAGTATTAAGGAGAAGCGGAAAATGTAATTTTCCTCATTAATTATATTTGTAATTAAGACTTATTTCATGTTTATTCGAAAATAATCGAATTTTTTTTATAGGAGAGAGGATAACGCTGAACCAGATGGTCAGCGAAATACAGAATATCCCATAAACGTAAGATATTACTATTTCTCTAGAAAAATCGAAGTTATTTGTAACTAATATTCAGTTATTAGCGATTTTTAAAAATATTTTTTCCAAAACGTTTCAAGCGTAGTTGATTTTTATTATTGACTTTTCTTAGATTGACAAAAATTTGCATGAAACAAAGTGTCTCCCCGTAAAAAAAAAGGATTCACAGTTCCATGACAAGAAGTAAAAGAAAACAGAAAAATTTATAGAATTCTGTAGAAACGTATTCTATAAATTCTATTGTTGTCGCTGTAATTCAGCAGAAATTTCCGATTCGCAGGTAAGTTCTCGTTCTTCGTATACACTTAATGCTTTACTTAGCGAAGTTTACCATTAAACGATTCTGTGATTTTAGAATAGTCAATCGGAAAATTCTCAATACAGAGTCGATTCTTCAAAAATTAATAAAGACATTATTAATGACTATGAATTTCAAAAGATTGGAAAGGGGACTTTTGGAACAGTTTATTTGGCTTGCTTCAGAAACTCTGACCAAAACGTGGCTTTGAAAGCCGTCGAGAGAAAGCGCTTTTGTCTTGCACAGGTGTTCTTTCAGCTTTGTTTTTCATATTCTTAATCTTATAATAATAGAAATTTATTTGACACCCTTGTCCATGTAATATAAAATAATTTAATAAGCATATTCTATCATTAGTACATAAAGCGTTTAATCTCCATATTAAAAATCATCACATTCACACATCATTTATTGATGATGCACTAAGCGGAAATAAATCGATGCTTTATATACATTAATTACAAATGTCTACAGAATATTCTTAATTTGTATCTAGTGTATACTTAAAAAATTACTTTACTTATAGAGGCGCGAATTGAATAAAGGACGAAAAGCGTGGACAACCATATCGAGCCATCCGCACATCGTCTCTTTAATATGTTTTTTCAAAACAAATACTAGGTAAATTTTAACTCTACATTTGATTTATTAATAATACTTAATGGTTTTTATGTAATAATAATTGTCTTCTTCAGTTTCTGTTTCGTCTCCGACTTTGTGGACGGACAGGATATAACTCATAATTTAGAAAATGACGGACCCTTCGAAGAAGCCCGAGTCAAAATGATCGGTGCTCAAGTGGCTTCGGCCATAATGTATATTCATAATCGAGGTAGTTTTTAAAATCTATTTATTCATTCAAATGTAAATTGTATAATGAATTTGCTTTTGTCTTCGATAGGAATCATTCACAGAGACATCGGGTCGAATAACGTCATGCTAGATAAGTCGAAAGGAGCGCAACTGATTGATTTCGGTCTCTGCACAGTAAGTAGTGTGTAAAATATTATCTTAATTTTCGTACAAGTGTTGATTTCTCATTAACTGATTATCATTCTGTCAGTATGAACAAAATCCGAAACAATTTTGCGGCACTTTCTTCTATCTTTGTCCAGAAATCCTTGAGGAAAAACCGTATGGTGAGTTGTTCTATTTCAATTTAATCACGTCATTTTGTTTAAGTCTTGTAATTATAATTAATATGCATTCATTTTAGATGCTTACTGCGATTGGTGGGCATTCGGAATTCTCTTATACCAAATGTTCATCGAAAAAACACCGATGGAGATGTATTTAGAAAAAGTCCCGAATATTGACAATGTGTCCTTTATGGAGATAATAAAAAGTAAGCGATGATTATTTTTAGTTTGTTAATGGCAAAAAGAGAAAACGTGTGATTAATGTACTGTACCAATGTCTTTTCAGTCGCTCAAAACGTCCGGGTGCAGTATTTTTTGCATCTCTCAATAAATGCAATGGACGTAATCGACGATTTACTGGAAAAAGTAAGATGAAATCTTTATTGTAGTTAATGTACTTTCTTATATGACGCATTCGTTTTGCATAATTATTTTCCATTAAACCTCAAAGTATTAAATATTAGTGTTTATATTGTTTTATGCGAGAAATTCATAATTTTTATGTAGTTAATAAGAAACTCATCCATTCATTTAATAATACAAATACATTTCAACACGTTTTCTGCATAATTTAATAGATATTTACGTAACTTATTCATAATAAATAATAAAAATTTAGAAAACTATTCAGTGGGGACAGAAATTTTAATTAAAAAATATATATAAATATACAAAAAAATCTCTCGTTCTATTTCGACTTTAGACGTGATTCACGCATTCAAACTACACTTAAAAGTAGGAAGGATTAATTTATTCTTACTTCCATCATATAATTCTATGTTTTATGCGTATATATTTATTTTAAAATGATTAATTCAGTTTGTTTAATAGAGAGTGGCGAATGTTTACGATAATTAAATTCTAATTAGTAATAACGAGCTGAATAACTTATTGTAATACAAGTTCACTACAATTAACAGATAAAAACATAATTCAAGCAGTATCGACTATTGCTATTACTGTAATTGTTATTTTTGTTTGTCATTTCAGGATCCAGTCAAACGTCTTCAGGAAACGGACATCACAAGACACATGTTTTTTCATGATGTCCCTTGGCCTCAATTGATTTAATTTATAAACATATTCGAAAGAAATTCTTTCTTAACATAATTTATTATTTTATTTTTCTAATTATAATGGATTTAATTTAATTATATCTATAAACAATTTAATCTAATCGTTCCAAAAAAAATTAGTTTTACTCGTTTGTTTTTGGTAGCTTCTGTATTAAATATTGTACGATAAGTCTTCGTATTGTTTGGTATATATTAAAATAATCATGTAGAATTTAAATAGGCGAATGGCGAATAGTCTGAACAAACGCAAGACGAGGTAAAGTTCTGTATTAATAACATACGTAATACAAAAGACGTATAAATAAGCAACTAATATATCTTATTCGGTTATTCAAATATTCAATAGTAGTTAATTATTGTCTTTATGTTGATGAAAAGACAAGATACATCACGTCAAAGTACTAACTGCCAATATATTTACACATAAACCAAACATACGGGGTCTGTTATTAAATTAAATCATTGTTTTATCGAATGGGCTACTAGACTACCACAGATTATCCAAGATATATTTGAGCCTCAAAATGGGCCTAAGATGTTCAATTAATTCTAAAACACAAGCCATGTGACTTCCGATCCATGCAAATTTCTTCGTTTGTGACAGTGCCAATAACGAGATGCGTACCAACGATCAGATTATTTCGAAGTGCTTTGAAGTTTCGAATTTGCTTTCGACGAACGTATCTAAAATACGATGAAAATTAATTTATTTTGATAGATCGGATTCAATTCAACATCAGACGTTCTTGATCAGAAATGTTCCTTCGTTGTTTTGAGTGCAGAGAAAAACACTCTGCCAAACAGTTGGTGGCTTAAATGCAAAAGGATATCTTCAACGTTATATCGAAGTTTACACACAGTATATATTCGCATAAATTTTTTCAAGATTTTTGCTAATTTTAATTTTTGAATTTTGGTATTCAGCTTTACTGTTGTTGATCACGCGATCGCAATGAGGTAATTTTCTGATTGGACCAACTAGCTATACAATTATGTTAAATTAACTTTCTATAGACTTATTGGTTCAGCTACTGTGAGAGCTTTTTGCAATTTTTAGGTTTTCATTGGCGACGTCTTAGAAAAGATATTGTACAGTGGTTGGCTGCCATAATAGAGAGTTTTTTATAAATAGTTTGAAGCTGTATGAGATATACACGAAAACGATGCATCGAGATTATCCATGTATTAAATTGTTCCAATTACATTCATTTTCTCGGGATGAAAATTTAAGAAAAAAACTGGTAAGCAGCCATGCACGTACATCCAGCTATATAAATAACTTTTCCATTATTAGACACACAAGTCCATACGGAATGATGACTTGCACACAGGGTTTGTGATGGCTCTACATTTGTCTTAAAGACATAAATATTTTGTGTCTTTAAGACAAATGTAATTTAATTAAAATTTTATTTACGTTGTACTTAAAAAATAATTATAAGAGTTCTGACTCTTATAATTATCAAAAATTACTTAAATATAAGCTTTAATTTTAATAAGATATTTAAATATAACTGGATATTTCAAAGGTGCATTGTCTCGTGTCATTATTTTACGATTTTATAATTTCGATTGATAAAAATAAATTAGAAAATGAAGAAATCGTGCAAAAATCCAAAAATTTTGCATCAGATCAATTCTGAATATATTGGACTATATTTAAACGGCAATAGGCCTTGCATATATTTACTGATAGATAATAACAGTGGAGTGTTAGTAAAATTACAAAAGCCAATTATGCCAATTATTTTCTAGGAACAAAAAAAAAAAAAATAGGATTTAGGTTTTCCTTATTTTAAATTTTTATCAGTTTTAAAAAATATATCCCCACTATCCATGTTGCACGCTTTATTTCTTTACATTACAAAAACACTTAAACTTGTGTAAAACGAATGAAAATACTCTCTTTATAATTTAAAATATAATAACCCTTACAATTACTAGCAAAGTGGCCGTCAGGAACGAATTTCAATTAGGAAGTTCAAAATCAATTATATTCTCAATTCTACAAAATTCTACAGTTCTGCAGTTCCGTAGATGTTGTAGTATGTTAATGGCGGCGCGACAGTACGAGAAAATACACGAACTTTCTCTGGAAACATGTGGATAATCCGTGCAGAGTTGGCACTTGTGTAGGTTCATTTTAATGTACTATAATGGAAATTTATAAGACAAAACCTCGTTTTTTCTTGATTTGTAATGAAAAATTTTTAATAAATATAAATATGTAATAGAAGAAAATGGTGCTGATATAATTATTGATAACTAAATTAACCATATTCGCCCCTTTTCAAGACAAAATAAGCAATTTTGTCCCAGCATTGTGACTAAGTCACAATGCCAGGAGGAAATTTTTAATCATATTTGTAATTTATTTAATTTAAAATTTAAAAGACAGAGTCAGAAACCCCAAAATCGAAATTTTGTCAAAAAATCGAAATTTTTAGCATTAAGTTGAGTCACGACGCAACAATAGAATTTCGACAATTGTCTGTCGCTTTGTTCCAATGCGATTGTTTCGAGTATTTTCGGAGTTTTGCTATAATTTTTTCGATTATTTTCGATAGGTTTAGTCCCTGATCTTTCTAGCTTTAGGTATTTTTAACATTGTTAGGTACTAAATCACAATTAGCAGCGATAACTTTCCCATAACGAATATTTCGATAACAATCGTTGTGTGGTTTCTTCAAAAAGAAGAATCGAGCCTTTGACTTTGTTTTGGAAAACTGCATTCAATCTTATCGTTGTTAATTTTTGTCAATCGAATCGAATTGTTAAAGCAAACTCGAATAATAAATTCTGTTGTTTCCCGTTATAATTTTGTGTGTGTACATTACATATGCGTACACATTACATCCCATAGGACATTATTATAATTAATCTGACCTTTAATGAATTATAATAAATGAGTTCATTCGTCATTAATTTCTTCTAGAATATTTTCATTATTTTTAATGACAATCAACAGAATAGCATAACTTTTATAAACCANGAAACATAAGAATCAAGTAAAAAGATATTTTTAATATCAATTATATCTATTAATATTTTTACAACTCTAGACTGATATAATATAGATTTCAGTACACAAGTAACTTTATTAAGACCAATAATAATACTCCCACATGGTCTACCAACACCATACTGTCTACAAGCTTTGCTTCAACCTAACAAATTATCTCTGCATATTTAATTAAATTCCAAAGCAATGAATTATTAGATTTATTATTTAAACCTGCTATATTATAAAATATTTAAACTTATCCTCAAATTCACTACAGACATTGTTTTGGAGGACATTCTTCTTCATCATACATTTCATTAGAAATTATACGTCCAAAAAAAGTTCTTCATCTTTAACCTGATAGATTTTGCAATCCAAATTACGTGCATAAATTATCTCATCTACAATTAATCTATTATAGCGAGAATTAATTTTTATACTACCGTTTAAACGTAATTATTTAGAATTATTTTATTTTATTCTCCGAGTTTATTGGCTGACCTAAAACATATCTTTTTTGTAAATGTGAAAACTTACCAATTCTATAAGACTTCTTAATATTTACTTCAGAGACTTTTAAACTATTTTCAAACAAATTTTGCATAAAAACAACAGAATCCTCATTACTTCCATTATCTGGAAGACCAGATATCATCAGGTTATTTCTTCTTTCTTTACCTTCCAATTTTAGCAGTCACTCAAATAGGTTTACATTACACTTTTCGTGTCTTTGATTAATTTACTATTATCTAAGCTAGTGTAACAATTTATCTTATCCTATTTAAGTGCCGAGACTTTAAATTTACAAGTGTCGTATCGATGTCTTCTATCCACGCCTGGATATTCGACAGTCATTCGAAAAAAAAAATTTAATTTAAGCAAAAAGAAAAAAAAAATACCTTCCTGAATATCAATTTCTTTTTCAGCTTGAATATACGAAAAAATCAATTGCTGTTCCTGGTCATTTGTAAACTCTTTGTCTTCATTCTGACATCGCATTCTTCCATTTTCAGCTGACGAAACTGGAGAAAAAGTCTTCATTTTACGAGGAAATGTATTAGCCATAAGACTCAGAAAAAAAAATAATTTTAAAATACAATAAAATAAAATATGAATATTCTTACATGATAATATACAGTTATAGAGTACGCAGTCTAAACTAAATTGCATTTTAGATTAACATATGCTGTGTAATTCAGGTTTTTTTTATAATGCGTAATCATACATGAGTTTGACCGAATTTATGCCAACAAATAAGTTTATTTATTTAATATATTAAGAAGAAAAGTGCTAATATTTGCATTATTTTATGAAATTTTGCTCTAATAAACTATTTTTCATGACCTATAATTAAACATACATGCTATTGTTATGCTTCATGATAGGTTTGGTTTATTTGTTTACAGCAACGTGACACGTACCGAGTTAAGAGCCTGTTTCTATGGGAAACTAGATACTATTTAGGTGTTACAAACGTGAAGAAAACCTAGAAACGCCCACGTAATTAGCCTGTTAGCCATCAACGACTACCGGTGTACACTGTTTTTATTCACTCGGCCAATGGTCGGTGGCTTTACGGTAAGGGGCCATCCATAAATTACGTAAGGGCGATTTCGGCCATTCTAGACCCCACCCACCCCTGTGTAAAAAACCATAATACTTTCTTTGATTCCCTCCACTCCCCTTCTCTATCTTAAGTAATATTTTGGCATGATTTTACAGAAAGATTTTTAACCCAAAAATTTTTTTAATAAACCCTAAAAACCTTAGGTTTAAAATATTTAATTATTAATTAGTTAATAAATATGTACTATTATTTATAAAAGACTTTAGGTGATCAAATTTAAAAATACAAGAATTTAATAAATTCTAATAAAAAATTTATTTTAAGTACTTTACTTTTTAACTATTAACAATATTACTACTATTATTATTATCATTAATCAACGTCAAAATATTTATTTTTATATTAGTTTTAATTTTCACAAAAG